TGACAAAAATTTGTCTCCTAAGGAAGTTGGATGATAGATGACATTTTTCAAGCCTGATAACAAATTTTGTGATATTGAATGATGTTGAATATTTTCCAACCGATTGAAACCAACTTGAATTACTCATGCAATCAACACTTTCTCAGTGATGATATTGTTTAGATAATGTCTCTCATGACATGTATTCAAATGACAATGATTTTGCCTGGTACGCCTTCACTACTAGGGCACTTGTTTTAACACATTCCATTAAATGTGTAGTATCCATTTTAGAATCTTTTGATTGACAAGTACGGCAAGCTCGAACAGACCAGAGCCATTCTTACTGATTTCAAAAAGTTTCTGGGTTTTCCCTCAAATCCTGATTTCAAAAGGTTCTGGATCTTCTCATCAACCTTGATTTCAAAAAGGTTCCGGGTCTTTCCACAAACCCTGATTTCAAAAAGGCTATGGGTCTTCCCATAAACTGTGATTTCAAAAATGTTTCGAGTTTTTCCATAAATCTTGATTTCAAAAAGGTTCTGAGTCTTCCCATAAACCCTTATTTCAAAAGATTTCGGGTCTTCCCATAAATCAAGGTTCCTGGTCTTCACATAAACCATGATTTCAAAGGCTCCGGGTCTTTCCATAAACCTTGATTTCAAAGTTTACAGGTCTTTCCATAAATCTTGATTTCAAAAAGGTTTCCGGTCTTCTCATAAACCCTGATTTCAAAAAGATTCCGAATCTTCCCATAAACCCTGATTTCAAAAAAGTTTCGGGACTTCCTATAAACCCCGATTTCAAAAAATTTCGGGTCTTTCCATCAACCGTGAGTTCAAAAAGGCTTTGGGTCTTCCCATAAACACTGATTTCAAAAAGGTTCCGGGTTTTTCCATAAACCCTTATTTCAAAAGGTTCCAAGTCTTCCACAAACCCTAATTTTAAAAAAGTTCTGGGTCTTCCTATAAACCCTGATTTCAAAAGGTTCCGAGTTTTTTCATAAATCCTAATTTCAAAAAGGTTCCAGTCTTCCCATAAACCCTGATTTAAAAAGGTTCTGGGCCTTCCCACAATCCCTGATTTGAAAGGTTCCGGGTTTTCCCTCAAACCCTAATTTCAAAAAGATTTTGGGTCTTCCCACAAACCCTAATTTCAAAAGGTTCCGAGTCTTCCTATAACTGATTTCAGAAAGGTACAAACCCTGATTTAAACGGTTCTGGGTCTTCCCATAAACCCTGATTTCAAAACGGTTCCGGGTCTTTCCATAAAACCATGATTTCAAAAAGGTTCTAGGTCTTTCCATAAATCCTGACTTCAAAACAGTTCTATGTCTTCCCATAAACCTTGATTTCAAAAAGGTTCCGAGTGTTCCCATAAACCCTGATTTCAAAAAGATTCCAAGTCTTTCCACAAACCTTGATTTTAAAAAAGTTCCGGGTCTTTCCATAAACCCAGATTTCAAAAAAGTTACGGGTCTTTCCACTAATGGTAGATTCAAATTCTGAAGAAGAAATATAGGTAAATCATCTTGAGCTCCCTGATGACGTAGTTGATTATATTGTGACTTATGTTTTGAATATAAATCTGCTCTTAAGAAAATCATGGAGTTGAAGGAGAATGTGAAGTTAAGGCCATAGGATCTTTCCAAAGAAGAAAAGATTGATGTTTTAAACAAGAAAGTTTTGGAAATCAAGGAAAAGACGAGATTTTCTTGAAAAGGAAAATGATTCTCTCTAAAAGGTGATTTCAAATGTCTCCAAAGGATTTTCTCTTGATTCAAAAACCGGGCAATATATTCTTTCCATGCAAGTTCCGCATTACAACAAATCCGGACTTGGTTTTGAAAAGGAAACTGCTATCAAAAATGATTTTCCAAAGGTTTAGGAAAGATTAATGTGCCTTCATTCAAACATTGCTTACAAGTCATTTTAGAAAGCAATTTACAAAACCTATTGGTCGAGACTCCTTAAGTGTTCAAATTGTGGGGATTCAAAATATTTTAAACAAGAATGCCCAAAATTTTGGAGACCAACGTTTATCTTGAGAATGGAAGAACCTTATAATGCGAAAGGACCCAAGCAAATTTGAGTACAAAAACACAAAGCATGATCTTGCTTCTATAGTGTAGGTACCAAAGAAGAAGAGCAAATGGTACTTGAATAGTGGATGCTCAAGACATATGATCGGAGATCCAAGTAAATTCACTAATCTCACCAAATTTAGTGGAGGAAATGTATCATTTGGAGGCAACAAGGATAGGAAAGTCATCGGCAAAGGAACTATCAAAGTAGGATGTCTAACCATCAATGACGTCTCCTTCATCAAAGGATTTAACTAGAGGTACCAAATGGGCGCTAATTATGCTATTAGCGCAATCAAGTTCCTAAGCCTAGTAATCTTTACTCGCATAGGAAGCGAGACAAAATTTATGTGTCTCATTTGGTTTCTAACCGACCCTGAAAGGCTAGTTGCAACTCTCATCTCACATAGAATTATTTAGGCCAAATCAAGACTTAAAATGAAATCCAACGGCACACAAGGTAAGGGCTTGGGAGAGCCAGTGCCTCATTGAGCGCCGGTGGCCCACCTTTTGGGCATTACCTCCAAACTCTTTTATTTTTCCCGATCGCATGCGGAAATGTTGGGTCACAATAGATCAAAATTCCGACTCAAAATTATGTATCTTTAAACATTTATAATTTCTACTGCACAAAGAGTAATTTAGGTATTTTACCGAATCTTACGATGCAATTTGATTATTGATTCATATATTTAATATTTTGATTCACGATATGTAGCTCAATTTAAATGCAAAAGATATGACATAGAACGTACAAATGATTATTCAGCTATTCAGAACTACCATAAAAGTTATTTATTAAGGATCATTTGCTCAATTTCTTTTTCACAAAATCGAAATTAGATTGGGTAACGGTTCCCTAATGGCATTTAAACAAGCATAAAAAAAAAGTTGTCTCCGTTTTCTCTCCTTTAATTAATGAACAATCCTAGCATAAAAGTCACCGTTACTATTGGAAGTAATGGTGGCATGTGGGCCAGGAGTTGTAATGGAAAGAAAAGGCCTACTACCCATTGTGAATGAAGTCTCAATTTTTGTTGGACAATATGTAATAGTTTCGCGAACATGTTTTATGCATTAGATGTGCTCGCGTGGCAATGACAGAGAGAAGCATGTTAATCATACAATGAGAATTTTCAAATTTCGAATGAAAAATTGGTTGTAATGCATATCAAGCATACAATGAATGTGAATATGTGAATTTTAGGCACAAATTCTTTTTACACAACATGTATAAGAACTTTTGCATAAAACTATTTTGGTGAAACAAAGTAATCACATAGTCATGTTACCCGCATGATAGAGAAGTAAACCAATCATAAAAATATTTTGCAAAATATGCATCAGAGCAAATTTTGCATTTAAAATTGACAATTCTCAATTTATGATTGATTTGCTCCTCTATGTGTCATTGTCATGCGAGTGCTTTCCGATGGATAAAACATGTTCGTGAAACTATCAGACATTGACCGGGTAGTTCCCTTTTTCTCTCAATTACAAATTGTGGCCCACATGCCACCGTTACTTGCAGTAATAACATGAATGTTACTTAAGTTTTTTCCCATACATAATATTTTATACCTGACTTGTAGATCATCTCATGTGGCAATTCATAGCTCAAAGTAAAAAAGAAGAAAAAAACGTAAAATATCATTGGGGCAAGCTGGCGAGATCTGATATGCTCCATTCTCCATCCTTAATTAGCTTAATGATGGTGATATCGGAGCAATGTATGCTATGATGATGAAGACAATAGCTATGCACATATTTATTTGTTCTTTATTAGTAACTAGATGTTTAGGAAATATTTGGAGCAAGACATATGTTAAGATGAATAACAAATTGCTGGCCGGAACTACTCTGACAGTTCATTGCAAATCCAAAAACGATGATCTTGGAATACATTATATTTCGAAGAGCTGGGGATTCTCATTCATACCCCATTTCTTCAGTGTAACATTGTTCTTTTGCAGCTTTGCATGGCCTGGTCAATTTCAGTGGTTTGATATATATGTGCAAAGTAGGGACGAGGAAGAATGCACCCACTGTGTTTGGGAGATCTCGCCCCATGGTCCTTGTAGGATGAGTGCATGGACTGGAAAATTTGATGCATGTTATAAGTGGAATCCTCCTTCACAGTTAAGGGAAAAACCTCTTATGTGAATGTATGATGGAGAAAGATGATGGGTGACCTCATAGATCACGATTTAGATGATATAAGAATCATCTTTGCTATTTTTTAAATAAGTATACACTTTCGACCAAAAAAAATATACCCACAAATTTGTGTGTTTCTCTTCTAATATATTCATCATTTTGATTTGGATTTGCATTTCTTTCTTTATAGTGTTGTCTCTTCATTTTGACATTTTATTTGTACTTATTTATTGCATTGTTTGCTATTGCTATCAAAATGTTTCAATGTAAATCATTTTTAATTAAAAACGGTTAATATTTGTGAAGTCGTATTGGTTTCGAATTGTAATGCTGGGGTTGTATCAAGGATTAACACCCTTGAGTTCATAAGTACATTAAACTAAATTCATTTTGAAAATCCAGCAAAATATTAGAGCACAGAATCGATTTGAGACATTTTCTAGTTGATGGTACTTTTGGGCGTTGATGTAGTAGTAGCCTTAAAAGCAATTTGGCAACGAGAGATTTGCAATGGCCAGTTCAAGTGTAGGCCATGTGAGAGGAACAATTACATTCTTAACTTTGACTTCGAATAATGTTCCCACTCAACCCGAAGAAGATGAAGATTATAGGCTATATTTGTTCGAATTGAAAACTAGGTGTTGTAAAATAATGCACAAACTATTTGGATCTTGTAATTAGATTAACACGAAATCGCTAGAGAAATAAATGAGGGAAAATAAAGAACACTAAAAATTTATGTGGTTCACTCAGTATCTACTTTACGGGAAGAGCCGTCAACAAATAATCCAATAATAATTGAAAAATCCGAGTTACAATCATTTATATGCTCGAGTGTTTCCCACAAATAGATTATAACAAAACCCACAATGTTTACAAACAAACAACTCAATTGAATGTATAACTTATAGCACAAATCTCCATGTTCAAAGATGTTCATGCAGCCAAGAGAGAACTTCTCTGTGTGTCTCTTTGGTACTTCAAGTCGCAGCCCGAGATCTCAACAAAACCCATGAAGTCCACATCCTTTAGTTTGCGGCTCGAAAGGTGTTGACACCTAAATTTTGATACACAATTTAGGAATAATTGCATGAAAAATTAGAAATTAATATTTAACCCCTAAACAAAAAATATTAAAATTACATGGTATAGCCTATAATTATTAGGAGCATACATCATATAGTTTAATTCATTCATTGCATTGGACCAGCGGCGGATAGGTCTAAAGGATGACTCTGAACAAATTGTATTGAACTTGCGTAGAGTGAAAATGTAAGGTTTTGGTATGACCGAATTTTGATCATGGGAACAAGGATGAAAATAGATTTGGTTTGTCTAGCACGTGCAAGCTGTGATTAATATTGGAATTGTGTATGAGCTCGGCCTGGACATGTTTCGAAGGAGAGAATTCAGGGATAGCATATATTTTGTTTTACAATAAGAAGGAAAGTGATATAAAAGACATTAGCATAAAGAAAAATATCTGAGCACAAGATAACAATATTCATGTGGAAAAGGGCATAATATATTGAAATGTCTTCCTGGAAGTCCAACTTCCTTAGAGAAATACACGTGAAAGAGTGGACAAAGCTGGAATTCAAACAAGATGGAAAAGAAATATTGAACAAGGAAGAGGTTGCACGTGGAGACATACACTTTATCTTATTATATCTTGACTGAGAGCACGTGGATTTGCAATATATGAGGGGAAGAAAGATAAAAGAGAGAGAGAGAGAGAGAGAGAGAGACTGAGCGTAAAAAAAAGATATATCTCCCCCTTAGGAAGAGAAATTCTGTCAATGAAGAAAAGAGGAAAGAAATTTTGTTTCTTTCGTGGTGAGTTCTGTGCCTTTGCATATAAGGTGAAAGAGAGAAAGAGTCGTCTTCCCCCTCGGCCCTGCGAGCTTGACATCAACCCCGACGTTGTCTGGCCTGAGCTGCCCTTGTCCATGGCGACGAATCCAGCCACCTCGAGTCGCCGTGCCTGTGGCCTCGACGAACCAACTGATCCGAGCTTGTCCGATGTGGTGCTACTCCTCCGTGAAGACCTTACTGCTGCTGTGCCCAGCTATAATGACGACAGTGCTGCTCCTGCTGCTGATTTGCCTCTGCACCGAAGCCTGAGACGTTGCTCCGCTCCTGTTGTGGTGTTGTGATTCCTCTCAACAAAGCTACTGTCGTCCCAAGCTCCCCGGTGTTTCTGCTCAATCTTGACAAAATTTCTGGAATGCTGAGAAGGGAGCTAGACCATCTTGGGGGTGGCAAACTATACTTATGGGAAGAGATAATATTTCCCCTCATATAATGTGGTCAATAGGGAATGGTGAGAACATTAAAATCAGGGAGGACAAATGGCTAAAAAGAGGAATTTTGGGGAGTCCTGCCACTAGAAATGAACCAAAAACAGTTGCTGAACTGATCATCAGGGAAGAGAACTGCTGGAATGAACCATTGCTAAGAAGCCTCTTCGAGGATCAAAAGGTTTCAGAAATTCTCACAATCCCAATAAGGTCTCAGTTAGTACAAGATAAGCTAGTCTGGACGGGAGCAAAATCTAGTACCTACTCAGTTAAAAGTGGGTATCACAGAATTAGAGTGAGAGAAGATAAACCAATTCTAAATCAAGCATCCTCCTCATTTCAGCCCCCTCGCGCTCTATGGAGTAAACTATGGGGAATGCAAACTACTCCTAAAGTGCAAATTTTTCTCTGGAATGTATGCCAAAATGCATTAGCCACGAAGGAGAACCTCTACAAAAGGAGAATCATACCTGACCCTGCCAGTTCGATCTGCAAAAGAGAAGTGGAAACCACGGAACACTTGTTCCGTCTCTGCCCATGGACACAAGAGGTTTGGTCTAACCCTGCATTACAAATGCAGATCACTAGTAAAGGTTTAGCCAGAATTGATGTGTGGCTCTTCCAACATAGTAATGGAATAACAAACTGCCCTCGAATTGAATTAATTGCATCTATTTTCTGGGCCATTTGGAAGACACGAAATTGCTATGTCTTTCGGCATAAGGATCCTGACCCAGGCGAAACACTAGCCTCTGCTTTTCTCATAGTAAGCACTGTGAAGAATTGGAGCCAGAAAAAGAAAATCTCAAGGAATGATACCAGCCCAGTGAGTGAACCCCAAATTCCTCTCAGTTTTGGATCCCACCGAAACATGGAACCCTGAAGATTAATTTTGATGGATCGTTGTTACCCGGAGAGATGGAAGGATCCATAGCGGCTGTCTGTCGTGACTCGTCGGGACTCCTCATCGACGGTTTTGCAAGGACGGTTCGAGCTTCTTCGGCCGCGCAGACGGAAACCCTAGCTCTGCTCCTCTCTCTTCAATACTTCCAGTCCCGAAAGAACGAAGAAGTTGTGTTTGGAGGAGAGATAACTTTGATCTGATAAGAGCAGTGCAGTTAAAGAGCTAAGATCAGTTCACTTGGGAAGTTAGAGTTCTTATCACTGAGTGTAGCGAGCTGTCATCCCAATTTTCGAAAATCCGGATGGGTCATTGTCTCAGAGAAGCCAATTCAATTACGGATTGGGCTGCTAAAGCCCATAGAAAAAACGCTTTGCCAAGTTGCTGGTTCTCTTCCCCCTCAGGTCCTTCTGAATCTTTTATGTAATGATGCCCACTCTATGGGATCTCCCCTTTCCAAATATTATAAATAAAGAATTATTTCGACCAAAAAAAAATTCTTCCTCAGTCCATACCTCGCATAACACGAGATCATTTTTAAGTTTTCATCAATTAGGAGTCACCACCAGCCTTTTTAAGTCTTCATGAACCTAGACATCGATAGTATACCAAATCGAAAGGCAGAACTTTTGTTTCGATTTCTACAGAGACTATGTTACATTAATGTTTCTACTAATGCCCATTCGGTACCGCTAAACTTAATTTGATTGTTATCTAAGTGGCCATGTATTTGTTTTTATCTTTTTCATGTCAAAATCATAATCCACTAATGATCAAGCATCTTGTTTTTGTGTTTTTCCATTTAAGATTCTAAACTAAACCTTTCTTAGAGTAGAAAAGAAATTAACAAACAATGTATTGAAAAGCAGTGCAAAAAGTAAACACCCAATGTATTGAAAAGACAGCTAATCTAAGAGCAAGGAAAGAAAACCCGCAACTTATCGAGTGTTTATTACATACAAGTTTGAAAACCCGAGACATGATCAAGTAACATGAATGGTACAAAATGAGACCGGGTTGGACATCGGTCTTTTGTCGCTATCTTCGAAGCTTTTGGCCACCTCCTCCATGAACCGCCTCATGGGTGTCGGTTTCACATTTGAACAATACATTTCATATGCATGTAATCAACCAATGCACGACAAAGACATCCAATTCACCAATAAAAAAAAAGGGGCCTCAGGATTGGCCTTAGTATTTCATGCATTTCAATCAGACCCATTCCTAATGACTAAGATTGATTAACAATTAATGATAACCAGCCACTATTTGCAATTCACAAAACGGCGGTCAATATCACTTAACCCCTAAAATTAGTTTTAAGTGTCTACCATAGGCTACCCACCGAACATGCATCGAGCCTAAGCATTCATCAAGCAAACACATGCATAGACAGGGAATTAAACATGCACTTAGGCCAAATGGCCTTATTTCTCAATCAATCACTCAAAGAGAAGTGAGCCTATTGAGGATCACTCATTCAATTGAAATTGACAAATTCAAGAAGGTTCTATTCGATTCTAATTAGCTTACCAAAAGAAGTCCGAAAGAAATGAATTAGGCATCATTAGAAAACTTAAGATGTGAGGATCAAGTTCATGAAGACCATTTTGACTGGTTCTTACCCGATTTTCTCCGAAAATAAGGATTTAACCTGGATGTACCAGACCTGACCCGGTTTTGGTTCGAAATTTGAAAAAAGGATGGCAAAATAGCTAATGTTATTCAAAACATGCGAAATTTTACAGATAGTTAGGAAAACGGGTGATGGATAACTTTTACGTTATGAGTTTTTGCTAAAAACCCCCTAATTTTTTCCAATAAATCGATTTTCACCCAAAACTCAGTTGCAAACAGTTTTTCAAGGCTGGATTGACCTTATCCGAAACTTTTATGAAATTGACCCCCCAAACGTTATGATTAGGTCCTCGAACTTTCCATTTTTCAAATCAAGACCCCAATGAACAACTTTGAAGTTTTGAGTTTTCGCAAAAAGGACCTCAAATCTATCAAAATTGCAAAAACACGTTTTGATGTTCAAAGGAATGAATTTCCGGATCTAAACACAGAATCCAATGAACAAATTGATCAAACCTTTGAACATCCATAGGAGCTTCAATTTCGATAAAATTTAAATCATTGAAAAGCTTAGAATCTTAGTGAAAACTTTGGTGAAGAACACTTTTTGAAATCTTGAATACAAAAATTCATAAAAATCGAAGAACAAGCAAAGGTCAGTCGAAAATCAATTTTCACAGAACAGAAAAAGTGAATTTGAGCATCGATCGTGCTGACCAAATCAACATGAAATTTTCTGAAATTTTTATGCTAGTAATATCAAGATGTCCGTTACAACTTTCATGAATGAAGTTTTCGCAAAAAAAGAACGCAAAAAATAATAAAAATCATTAAACCGAGTGAGGTCAATAAGGAAGCATATAAACAGAATAGAAAACCGATATTCCAGATTCTGATGTGAAGTTCTAACAACGCTTTAACACAGTAAATCCATTCATGACACACTATATATCAAATCGAAGCTTATAATGTGCTCTTCAAATCTCTAGGGAAGTGTTTTTTTTTCAAATTTCATCATCATCGAACTCAAATGAGCAATAGAAGGTCACTGACTCAGTGTTACACAAAAATTACAAAACATGAAATCAATGTTCCAAATATTCATTGAACGATTCCTATGCATATATCAATCAACATACAACATTCTACACATTCAAACAGCAAGCATATCCTCATATTTGGCCTGGTTTCACTTCATACGTGCATATAACCACTTCATTTCATCATATAGTCATGAACTCGGTTTAGGATTACATACCTTGTGTGATCAATTCGACAAGCTCGTATGAGCTATTCGGCGACCACTCAGCTTTGATATGGCACCGAGGATAGCTCTCCGATGTCTAGATCATGATACAAGAACCTCAGTGTGAGAAGATGACTCGATGAAATAGAACGAACAAGAAGTAACAACGATTGAAATCAAGCAAAGCAAGGTGATTCCAGTGGCTGCTTTGGTGAAGGCGAGCCACCACAGCCTCGTGTTGAGGCTGAGGAGGTCAACCACAAGGCTCGGGACACTGTCGAAGGCTGCCGGACCACCAGATCAGCAGCTAGAAATCGGTTGGCCAGCAGGGCGGCTTAGATGCTAGTGAGGAAGTTAAGAGGAGTATAGGCTTCAATCGGGGAGCTTCAACCTTGGTCGCAACCTGTGAGGGACTCTAGGGAGCGTCGGTGAGGCAATGACCGCTGGAGGAACGCCGACGAGTGGCCGGTTTGGGCAGAGAGGGTTAGTCAAGAGACAGCTAGAGAGAGATGAGAGAGTTTTTGTTTTAGAGAGAGAATTTTCAAATTTTGAAATGGCTAGCCCCCAAAAATTTGGAGAGAAAAAGGTTTATATATTCCCTTGAGTTCAAATCTTGGCCCTTAGATTGATCTAATGGCTTATATTGCTTCCTTAATGGCTAAGGCTGTCTCCCATTGGTTGAATTTAGATCACTTGTATAGATGACATGACATAATAGATAGATAGGATGTGCTCTTGATGGATGGTTAAGATAATTTGCTTAACTATTAAGGAAATGCTCCTATTGGCCCAAATTGGATGACATGGATTAATGACATAACATACAAGGGCATTTTGGTAATTTTCAAGGGGCATTTTGGTAATTGTTGGGCATAAAGGGGAAGGGCTTGGCCAGCCAAGGCTTGGGGTGGCTGGTGGTGATTGGAAATGGCTGTTTTCTAGCCATTCTCGCCGGTTGGGCGACTCACGCCGGTTGGGCAGGTTCAAACCGGCTTGGGTCGGTTTGGCCGGTTCAATTGTCAATTAATTTGTGCAATTTAGTCCAATTTTCTCTCTTGGCGATCTAATTGCAAAGAATTTCTAACCAATTATCAAAGGAATGGTAAAACAACTCAAATCCAATCGATTAAAACCAATCAAACTCGTTTCCGACATCTCAATTAAGTGAATTTGTTCGAATTACATCATGGGTAATGCCAATTTCATCTCAATTGACTTGTCTCATATAAATTGGGAATTTTCAATCAATCGATGCAATTTTTGTAATTTATATCTTCAGTTGATAAAATTGATTTCAATTGAACCCAATTGACTTGAAAAGTGATCAATTGATTCAATCAAATGGGTTTGAAACACTCCAATGTGCAATTGACTTCTACATATTGGCTTGAACTAAACTCCAAAAGGAAATTAGAGCTTAATCATTAAATTGAAGCTCAATTCATCAAATTAAACCCTAGATGGGAGTGGGTCAAGTTGAATTGCATCAATTGGATCAATCTGGCTTGGTTTTATGGTCATTGGTTAGCTAAATTGATCGAATTGAGTTGAATTCATGTGAATTTTCCAAAATTGATTTTGGATTTGAGTTTTATGCAAGAAATCGGGCTCATCCGTGGCTTAATTGCACAAATCATGTAGAACTGACCGAAACCCTTCATTGGGGCTCAAATTGGGGGGTTTTCACCCTTGTCTTGGAATTCTAAAATTAGCTTGAAAATGAATGTGAGATGACCTCTAGATCAAATGTCGTGAAGGGCATTATCTTCAAAATTGACTAAAAATGAAGTAATTTCATTTTTGGCTAATTTGAACCAAAATCTGCGAATTGGGGAAAAGTTGATTCTAAAATGATTTTTGTAAAATTGATGATGCTAAAGTGAAATTACTGTAAAAAGGAGTTGATTTATAGGTTTTCAATTTTTCCAATTTTTTTGGACAAAGTTTGACCAAAAGTTAACATTTTAGTAATTAGTTATTAAATGTCAATTAATGGTCAAACTCTAAATTTTTTGAAAATTGATGATGCAAAAATGAAATTAACATTATTTTGGGATTTTTCATGCAAAAAATTAAATTTTGACTTTAGGTCGACTTTTCGATCAAAGTTTAACAAAAAGTCAATTGAAGAGTCAACGGTTTAACTTTTTGAGATTAAAGTGCAAAAAGCTAGAAAATGAGACTAATGCTAATTCAAATGCTAAATTTTGGTTGAGAAATGAGTTATGTCGTGATTAGAAGCCCTATTCTCAAATTTTTTACCTTTATGACTCGTCGGCTAAAACTCAAGTGTCAATATGATTGAATTTTGTACACATACTCAAATTCGAGATATAATTTAATATGATATGATGCTTCTAAAAATGACGGGTATGGAACTGCCATTATTGTAGGTAGAGTAAAAGGGATGTAGCTCTTGGCTTAAAAGGTGCAATTGTCACATGTCAGAGATAAGTTTCTTTTCTTTTCAGAATGTAATTGTATTTGAAATCATTTAGCGAAGAAATTCTATCGTGCAAACCTCTTCCGATATCTTGTTTCTTGACTAACTAATTATCGACACTTGATTT